GGCGAAGGACGCGTTCGGGTCAAAGTGTCCGTGCGCGGACGGCGGCGTGTGCGGCCCTTCGCTCGACGAGGTGATGCTCGACGCGGACGTCTCCGGCGAGTGCTGCGGCATAAAAATGGCGTATGGGTCCGGGTTTGCGACGCGCAGACTCGACCTCGACTTGGACGACTTGATGGAGACGTCGCCGCTTTGCGCCCGCGCAAAGGATGACGCAGAGGAAGACTTGTGGGACGAATATGAAGTGTTCGCGCCGGAAGCGAGTGATGTCTGGCTGGCGTGTTTCCTGTCCTTGTCCGCGTGCCTCGCCTTTCGCGGTTTGCCGCTTGAATGCTCTTCCGGATAGGGATCCTGGGCCTCGACGTACTTGCTGTAGTACGACTGGCGCGTCGTCGGGGACGGCTCGGGCGGGGCGACTCGCTCCTCGCCATCGTCATATGCGAGATGGACACTCGAGGCGTCGGCAGAAGCACGCGGGTCCATGTGGTAACTGCCATTGGGGGAAGGGAAGGATGCGGCGAAGGCGTAGAAAGAGTCGACCTCGGACGGAGGGCGGCTATGTTCACTGCCTGCGCTCGGGTAGAGGTGAATCGACGGTGCATAGTACTGGGATGCCGCTGGAGTCTGAGGGACAGAGGGCGCTGGTGGGTAGGCGTAAATCGCTGAGGGATCGCGCTTTGGAGCGGTGTCGTAAGGATTTGGAAGAGAGGAGTATTCCTAAAGATTGTGAACATTGTCAGCGAGATATTTGGTTAAGCAGAAGCGAATGATTAAAGTTGAGAGAGATAAGAAGGTTCGAGTGGAAGAGAAAGGGAGAAGAGACTCGCCTGATTGCCTGCAGTCGGGACGATCTCCTCCCTGGAGTTCATAGCGAAGGTGGTGTAGGCCAGAGGATTTGTGCGAGGGTCTGGCGAGAAGGCAGGATCATCCTTGAAGTGGGAGGGGGGAATGGGCCTGGAACGGATAGGGCGTTGGGAGGACATCTGTTGGGAGTGCTGCTGTTGGGAGAGCGGAGGGCCGTAGATGGCCTGCTGCTTTGGCGGGGGCGCAGGCTGGTAGTAGGAAGGATCGAGGTCGGAGGGGTGGAGAGGATGGGCGGCCTGGGCGGCCTGGTGAGGATG